TAAAATACACTGGCCTCTGATGGCTAGAACACTAAGAAAGGAAGCCAGAGTACAGGCACAACGGGATGTTTATAGATTAGGTCCCCTTGGAGGTAAGGGCTGGGTGTGAGGAGAGAACTGGGAAGGGATGCACAGAACAAGAAATCCTCCACATCTGCATTTCTGCTCCAGCTTAAGGACAGGGTTTTTTTCCTCTGTAGTTCCTCTGAAAAAAGCAAACTCTTGCACTAGAATTTATTTCTTCGTTGTTGCTAACAGGGCTATGTTTATTCTGCTGAGATAGTGAAGGAGATGCTATAAGGAAAATCATCTTCATCCAATTTATATAACACAAGCATTTTTACATCAACAAGCTTTTGTTTTCAGATCTACTACTGATGCTGTTTAGGTAGCTGCATTTTGTGAAAAGATACACCATCCCTCACCATTTAAAACTTTATTTTTCCTTGAAAAATTACTACTAGCTATACATTGTATTTGAGCTGCTACTCTCTGTATTTCACGCTCAGAAAATAATTTAATGAATAATTATTTTCCCCCAATTTGTCTCTTGTGTGCTTTGCCTGGGTCTAGTTTCAGTGTGGAAAGAAGGTATTAATTTGATGTTTGTCTCAATCAGAAGAAGGTAATACTAGGAAGATCATGTAATACCTGAAAACGTAACTGTAATCTAGTCCACAAAACGCAAGCTACCCTGTTTAATCTGTGGTTGTCTTGCACTTCTGGAACTTAGACCTTTTATAAGGATAGACTGCTGACCCAACTCCAGCCATGAGAGCTTTTTGTCTATTCATTAAGCTTTGATCTGTCCAGAAGCTAAAATGCCTGTCAGTAGCTTTCACTGTCGGTGCCCTGAAAATGCTAGATAGCAGCCTCAAAATAGTTTTACAGCATTGGTCCTCACCTACACCTATGGTAATTCCTGAACCACTGCAGAATTAACTGACTGTTGCCTTGCTGATTGCAGGCACACCTATACTTGGTATCTCCTCCTAAAAATAGGAACTAGACCAAAGAGCATGGCATGCTTCTGCACTTGCAAGAAATAGATACAACAGAGTACTGCAAAGAAGCAAGAGGAGGAGCCTCATGCACCTCATCCCACTTTCCTAGCTAGCTACTTCCCTAAGAAGGATCATGATGTTCACCAGGTCCATCACCCTAGCAGCAGACAGTACCCATTTCTAGTTGTGCAGCATTGAGGCTTCCTTCCAGGGGACAAAAGAACTGACACCTCTTCAGGGAGTGTGAATAGAATTGTTCCTGCTCCTCTTCTAAAAATCTTGATCCATATTCTCTTTAGTCTTCTATTAAAAAGTTCACACTAATTTATTCTCTGCCCCAGCTCCCCCAAAAATGGAGTCTAACCAATCACCTCTACCATTCTTCACACTGAAGGCCATCAGGGAAATTTGAAGCAAAGTCTACAGATGTAGCACATTCCCCACTTTGTATTCAGAAAGGCTAAAGTATTTTGAGTCATGTGAGCAAACTTTGTTATGATCCTTTGAGTGTATCATAAAGTATTTTCAAAATAGATCAAATTATTACAACCCATTCAACAGTCCACTCCCTTTCAACAGTCTTAAACTATGTAAAGAAATGTTTCAAAGAAACATTTCAGAACTTCCTAAAAACCTTTCTTAAAGTCTGAAAATTTCAAAACGAGGCTGTTATTCCAATATAAAATGATTTTTTTGTAATTATGGCATTTTTCACCATAGTGGATGTTTTAACAAGCTCTAATGATGATTGTTAATTTCTTTTAGGAAGCTGAGACACTGTATTCCCTAAAATCTCTTTCAAATAGACACTAACTCAGTATTCAAATGGATTTGAACACAGAATAGTTACAGTCCCACTGCACTATGTTAAAAAGCAATTAGCTTAGCATTAATGAAAATGTAAAGGTGCTCACACTGTGTGAAGTTAAGGATCCCAAGCATAATCAATACACTGTTCAAAGTAGCTGTATTAGGAGATTTTCTCTCCATGCACTATATATGGAGCCTAATAATCCATTTTGTCACCTTAGAGGTTTACAGTCCAATAGTGTTAATACCCCTCTAATAGCTACATCCCAAGACAGCAGTATGCTAAAAGCTCACATGGTAAAACACAACAGCGTGTGTGTCTGGATAGCGTCGAGAGAGGAATGTGATGTATACTTGCACAAAAGTATAGAACCAGGTTCTCCGTAACATGTGATTCCACAACACATTTGCCCCAGATTTTTATGTCTGTTTTTATAAACAGTTGGTTTAGGGCATTTTGTTCCTGGTTTTTGCATGAAATTAAGAAATACAGAATAAATTACCATGATGACTCTCAGTAACAAGAGGAAGGACTAGAAAACGTGCTTCTAAAATAAATGCTTCAGTATCTTTTTGCACTGCCAATGTATTATTTTTAAATGCCCATATTTTTCTCTGAAAAAACTAAAGCACCAGAAAAAAAGTCCATAGCCAGAAAAAAGCTATGGGATACATAGCACAGTATCAATCACAGGAAATCTAACAAGGTGATGGCAGACACTTGAGTTTAAAGTACCTATCATGGTACCTGAAAAACAGCCAATACTTTTCCTGGATCCTGTAGGAAGCCTGAAAGTATTAGGTGAGAATTCCCAGGCTTCTGGTTCTTACTGAAATTCAAACTAACTTTTCACCACTGAATTAAAGAAACAAGCCTGAAGAACTAGGAATCAGGCATATATCATAGGGAATGCACAGATGCAAGGATAGGAGATGAAGTTCTAACTGCTGACATGTACACTCATACTGAAAGAAATTCTGTATATATTCCAGTTGGCATGTTATAACCAAAGGTGACTAAATTCACTTGAGCTTAAGGTTCCAGTGGATGACCTAGTTTTGCCTGTCTACAAAATGAAAACAGAGAACTAACAACTAAAATAGAAATGTAGTCCTGTTCCTTTTAATATTATCTAAAAAGTACATGAGATCCATGACCAGTTCCTGGTAACTTCACATTGAAATACTAGAGAAAGGCAAAACAAAAGTAGCAGGCATTGGATTCAGTTGTAATTTGGATTTTGTTTGGTACAGCTGATTACAAAAGACAGTGCTGATCTCAATAGTGATGTTCTAGTACTGCACAAAACTGTCGTTTTTTAACTAGAAAGGCAGTGCATTGTTTACAGGCTCAGTTTATCCAGAATTAAGAGACCATTTTGTCACATGCAGCTATGGTAGATGTTTCAACAATTAACCTCCCATCCTACACAAAAAACACAGTATAGAGGAGGTTCACATCTGCATGTGGAGCACACGAAGAATATGTTCATGTAAGACCATGCACTGCAGTGTAAAATATCGGAGTTAAGAACAAATAGGTGAACCAGTCTCTGCAGCTCTATACTGTGGGTTTTTTTTCCTGATACGTAAGCTAGTTTAGCAATCCTATCTACCATGGTACAGTCAAACTCCTAAAGAACACTGCCATAGCAAAACCAGCTCTGCAGAGTCTCTGTATCCTACTGAAGCTAATCCCATACAATTCATCTCGAGAACTCCACCACTCTCTCTATGGAATACTTTGTTAAAACAGATTTTCAGTAGAAAAATTTAGTTCCTTATTTTCCTAAATTGCTTTAGAATGCTTGTAAAGTATATTGTAAAATATACTTTATTTCTGCAATAAAATGAGAATATTATATGGACAACAAAATAAGGCAACCTTACCATTCCCTCATACATACTTAGTTCTCAACACAATTATTTCAAACATAATTTTCAGCCTGTTTACAATTTCTGTTTATATTGAAGTTAACCGTTTATTTGTGATGGTACTTCAGCAAGTAAAGGAATCCTAATGTTGCAACAACACCTCCAGGGATGAAACCAGGTTTCATAGAGTCCAATGTCCTTCAAAAGTCACAATATAAACTAAGTACATTTGCACACACAAGGACAACAGACACCGTAAGTTGCTACATTACTACCCATACCAGGAGTTTCAAGCTGTCTGAAAAGAAAGACCATTTTTCTGGTGTTGAAAGGACGATGAATCTGTTAAAACTTCCAGCTCTTTGCTCCACTTCTTAAGCAGTGATGGATTAACAGAAAATGAAGCAGTAACTGAAACGCTACAGGTGACAACCCAATGAATAGAAGTAAGCCAGCGCTGCCTTCTCTTTATTCAACACTCTGCGCTTTACACTGCAGTACCAGTGACTGTTCCATACCCCACCCAGCCACTCCAGCTCTGCCACCACAGCCTGTGGGGTAGAGGTGGAACAGCTTTAGCTAATCTTAATACAGTGTAGACAGGAATTTCAAAAGCCCAGGATTTATCCACCTAAACCAAAAGTAGAATCTCACTAGTTTATCTTTCCTTCAGGCCACCAATGCTTTCCATTGTTGTTGCCATGACATGTCAGTTGTTCTTACCTGTTGTTTGAGAGCCTCTAGAGATTCAAATTCCAATTTGGCTAGTTTTATCTGGATATCTCTTGGTTTATCCGGAATTACAAATGCCATGATAAACTTTATTGCTAGTAGCAAGTGCTGGAAAAAAAGTAAAAAGAAAAATATTGTTCTATAGAGTTTGAAGCATGGGGAGAGCAGCATAATCCCTATTTGAAATTTTAGTAACAGAGGTATAAACAACTATTTCTTCTGACATGTACAACACAGCATACTATAACCACATTGAGCCTCAGCTACTCCATATTTTTTCTATTTACAGTCATTCATTATTTGAATATAAATATATATAGTTTGGCTTATTTTCATAATAATCCTATTTTCACCATGTGCAATACATTTCTAATTCAATTTTGTATTTGATTCCAGATAAAATAATTTTTAAAACATATTATTGGTGCATAGAAACTGAATTATGGCACTCAGAACACATAGTTTCATAGTGAAATTTTTACACATATACACACAAATATTATTACATATAATCAGATGCAATTTTAACACACATACATGCATGCATACATATACATATGTCAGGATATAAATGAAACAAGCACAAAATTTCTGCATTACAGAAGTTATTGAAACCTAAAAGCACTCCTGAGAAAGCATCAGAAGAGAACAAAACAAAATAAAGATAAAATAAAATAAGTGTCACACTCATGAACAGAAACTTTCCAGGAAATGGAGAAATATTCTACATGTAAAATGTCAAATTAATCATAATTTATCACAAAAGATTATAATCTTATTTATGAGGAAAAAAAAAAGCATTACGTTCTGTTGAACCTAGTCATTGACCAGTCTTTAAATTTCCCTTACACATGCACCATTCCCCTCCTCTCACCAAAACAAGTGCCAAACTGTCAAGCCAGTGGTTTTGTTTCTTCATTTATGTCAACTATAAGTATCACCTAAACAAGAACCATTAAATCTTGTTTTATTAAGGGCTAAGCTAACAGTATGCTGGATGTTTGCAAGCAGGAACTTGGTCCTAGCTGAGAAAACCCTGACCAATATAAAGCAACACTTTAAGCATGTGCTTAAGTTCCATTGACATTATGATACTCACAGACATGCTTAAATTTAGATTGCATGTCCAAGCTACTTAGAGTTTTACAAATGGAACAGATCAGTGCTCCTTTCTGAAACACATTTTGCTGACTAGACACGATCTTGATGCACTTGGGCACGTGAATAACAAAGTAACAGACCAAAAACCCCTGAGATTCTGCAATTATGTGAGCAAGAAGCTAGGAAAAAACACTACAGACTAGCAGTGTTCTACAAGTGGTAGGGAAAATAAATAAGCCAATTCCAATAAATAAGAGTTAAAGTAACAAATCAGATAATAGTAATAAGTTAGAAAACAACTAAGAGCCATACATTGAATTATTTTTTTAAATGTATTACAGAAAAATAGTAAGTAGGTCTAGGAAACAAACTCTTAGTGCAAGAAATAATACTTAAAGAGGTGAAAGGAAGGCTGAAAATCAATGCAATTGTAATACATTATCAATGAAAACCTGACCACAGGCTTATGAAGCAACTAGCATGTCTGCTGTGCAATGCAATGGGTAATACTGCATTATTAACAAAAAAATTATGTCAAGAGTAAAACATTCTCCCACTCATACAAAGTCTTTTTTTCCCCCACTCAATTTAATAGCATCTGCTACTAAGGAACTTGTACAAAAAGCCTGATAGCAAACAATATTGGTTTATGCTAGAAATTCATAACAATAAAGATGTCTCAGAGCTGACACTGGAGGAATCTCTTAAATGGAAAATGGTAAAATGTTGAAGACAATAATAAAAAGTAAGACAAACAATACTCCTATGCAGAACAGAGTCACAAGGAATCAGAGGTTGAAGGGGAATAACTGATCTACACATAAAATCTTGGTTTGGAAGCAGGAAGATGAGGAGAGCAAATTTGGAGTACTTAAAACTAGCTAACAGGATTAAGCTAAAATCTTATATTTAAGGCAAATGACTGACAGAATTAGCAGCAACTGAGGGATATTTATTTGAAAAGTTATAATTGACATTTCAGTTGAAAAAAAGACTCAGCATCACACAATGTAGCTTCCAGCTGCCCAAAGTCCTTTGGGCTGGGGTCCATCTCACATTGCTAAACAAAAAACCCCATCATATTAAAGAGCAAGAATCAGACTTTGGAACTGTAATAGTTCATCCACTGCCTCTTGAAGAGCTTGAAAAACCTAAGCCAAGCTAGTAACTTGGCACGGAGACTTCAAAATAGCTCAAAATTTGGACAATTTTTAAGAGAATAAATCAAAACCATTTCAGGTAAATGTAAACAATACTATGGAGGACAGAGACTGAGTTTTTCCCTTTTTTAAATAGGGGTGAGGAAGGAATAGAAGAGACATCTAGGGAAACCAGAAATAAAACCAACAAAAATGCTGCAGTTAACCCTGGAAAACACAGCATTTTTTAAAACAGAGTTAGAAGTTTAACTACTTCACCATACAAAGAGTTTTAATGTTGTATCCACTAACCAGAGCTCAGCAGTTCAGCAGTATTTCAGATGGGGTTTTTTTGGCAATAGGCTACCTGTTACCCACATGTATTGGAAAATGCCCTTGACACAAACTAGCTGTTTGTGAGAAAAGTAGTCAGTTTTCATGCTAGCGCAACTCACAGCCTGTAAACACAAGGATACAGCCCCAAACAACAAGGCAGAACTTCTGATTCAGAAAGCCTTCAAGCCAGAGAAGGTTCAAAGGTTGGAGTACAGATCGGGAATCACTAGTTTTGCTTCCCCTACTGTTATCCTCTTTCCTTGGCATCCACTGTAGGCCACTGTAAAAAAAAGATGACTGAGTCAGGTAGACCTTTGGTTTACCCCTCAGAATGGTTTTTTAATGGTTTTTTCCCTCCCAAAAACAAAAGCTTTAGCAGTCATAAAGTGCTCAGAACTGCATGGGATGTTCCTGTGTGCAAGACTGTGACCTCAGAAAACACACTGGACTTAACAGACTGCAAATTCAGTTCAGTGCCACCTCAGAACTCCCAGTGAACCTGAAAAAAGACATCAGAGCAACAGCCTCCCTTGGATAACTTCTCCAGCTGTTCCTATTTGCACATTAGGAGTAATATTAATAAAATTGGGAAGGTTAACTGGCATAAATTATGAATGTGGGTCATATGACTCATGAAAACTCTTTAAAAGAAAATGTATCTAATTTTTTTAACAGTTTATATCACATTTTGGAATTGACATTTGATTAAGGAAATGTAAGTATTCAAGAGAAACTGAAGGAAAAAGTAGGGAGATGAGTAGTTGTGTTATGAGGATCATTCATATTCCATACTGATCTTTTAATCTGGTTCTAGTATAATTCCTGCAAGTCAGAACCACAAAAACGAGACATCTGCTTTCAAAAAAAGAAATGTCTTAAGAGCACAGTATAAATCACCAGAATAGACAGCAAAATTATCTTTCATAGTATAAAGTTATATTATAAAGAATATACTATAAAAAGACAATAGGAAAGTTCATCCAAATTTGCAACACAACTAGTGCAAATGTATTTGTGCAGTTTCTGCATAGAGTTGGTTTTCATTTTTTTTTATTTTGGAGGGTTGGTTTTCTGGGTTTTTTTTAATTAAATGAGGTTATAAACCCAACGATTATTTCTAACTGCAACCATTAAAAAGTGGTGTTGTTTCCAAGAACATGCCCTTCATCATTACAAGAGGACTATTTCACTGTGAGCAAAACCCAGGATAACATTCACACAAGCTGTAAGCTCTCCAATGCCAACAGCAAAGTCCCCTCCTATTTTGCAATCTGTCAAGTGGGCACAGAGAGCAACAGCAATGAGTCTCTCCCCCTTGATAAATGCGGTGCCATCGAACTCTTTGTGGTCTTGTGCCAGGTGCTTAGAGAGCCAAAAGAACTACTCTGTTCCGAAAAGCCACCGACAAGAGTAGAAGCAGCAGCTGTGTTTTGCAGCAGTGGGTCCCCAACCTCGTCTCTTTTAAAACAGAAAATGCAAATTAGGGTTAAATTCCTGGAATTTTGAACAGCTAATTTGATTTCTATAGTGGTCTTACTGCAGCAATTCCTGTCAAAATCTACTCAACTGGAGAAAGAAAAAAAAAAAAAAGAGAGAAAAGAGAAAAGGAACATAACCAGTAGCTGCTGGTTAGCTGACAAAGTGCGTGCCAAACATCAGCTTGGAGAGACTTTAATAAAATTTTGTATCAAAAACCTATTTTAGAATCTAATATTTATAACAACTTTCAATCAAAATTAGGAATCTGGACCTAGTCCCGCCTAGAATCAGTACATGCTAGGAAACAAGATGGTCACTGGTTACTAACTCTGTGTGGGTAAGGAACCCTACATGAAAGCCAACACCTGAGAATGGCACATTGCTTTCAACCTCTATTCTCTACTGGTATATGCAAAAAGCTCTTGCAAATGTAAAGGGAAGTATCACCGTAAGATCATGCTACTGTTACAGCAGCAGGCAGGGAGATCATTAGATTCTTTGCTAGGACTCTGGATCTCAGAATTCTGACATTAAACTGAGCTAAGATCAAACACTGTGAACAGACCAAAAAAAAAAAAAAAAAAAAATTTTTTTTTGTCTTTCTGTGGCACAAGTTTTTAGTTTTGAGGGTCTTCCATCTTCCTGAGAGTAGAAAAAAGGCAAGAGGAAAATGAAAAATAATTCTGTCAAAGGAGCAATACCGGCAAAGAAAAATTTCCATAAAGCTCAGGAAGTTCAATTAAATTAAATTGTCTTTAATAGACAGCAATAAAATAAATTTATGAGCAAATATTTCTGCAATATACATAAAAAGAAAGCACAACCAAACTTTCCTTCTCGCTTGTAGATTGAACTGGTTTCATTACAGAGTCTTGCTGATGAAGCAGAATCATCACAGCTGAGGGACTTTAGAAAGACCTTTCTTCTGCTACTCTGATAAATGCTGCTTTTAAAACCTCACGTCCCATATATTATTACGGAATTTTTGTAAAATGGGAATGAAATCTCCCTTAGTAAAAACCTCTGATATTCCTTTCAAAATTTCATTTTATC